CAAAACCCTACCTTCACTGAGATTTGAAAAAACAAACGAGGGAAAATTCGAACGACAGAAAGAATGCAGGGGGGGCGAGGGAGGCCTATTTAAGCCTACAGTAGCATACGAATTTTCAACTGATAAGCCGCTGCCGTCAAAGTAGGCCGCGTTAACTAGCCTATCCGTATGAAGTGCGGAATTGGCATAGGAAGGTTGAGGTGATGCGCATAAATCGACAGTATAACTGGTAAAGGCGACGGAGGACGTCCAGAGGAAGGGTAATAAATAGACAAGTGACTGGCCTGTACAGTGGGCTTAATTTTGCCAGATAAATGGGCAAGCCAGAGCCTACCGTTTGAACTAATTTATAATGCAGCACACGGTAATATGAGGAAGACCATTTTTTTGCCCAAAGGATTAAACTCTTCTTGGGTCGGTAGATTAGGAGAAAAGCGCGACATCCGTGTGGACCTGAGGACACCGGTAAGGAGCTATTAGTAGTTGTACGACTAGATTATAATTGACAGTAAAGAGTTTGTCACTGGGCAAGTCTACCAAATTTAAATAGATGTGCATGAAAACACGGTCTGCAAGCAGTGAGGGATATGACAGTCAAAAAAGGACCAGGCATCAGGGTTACTCTTTGCAACAAATGAGAGGTTATCTTTTCATGCTATGGCACAGGATAAATTAAATTACAGTAGAGGTCAAATCAGTGGGTTGCAAAAAGCAGAGGTAGGCTCACCATCTACTTCAGTAGACAAGCAAGGTTCTACGCAGCAGCCGTCCCTTAGGCTTTGCAAGCTAACGTGTCGCGTATGCGGCCATTTATAGCACTAATACGGTTGTTTTAAGTTGAATACGGCATCACCTTGCACACGGTGGGCGTCCTCAAAATCGATGGTCGAACTGCATTTTTTTTGTGGCTTGGAAGGTTTTCAACTGATGTTACAACGCAGGTCTCACAGTCGGCCCTATTTAGAGTCAACGACTGGTAGACTGAGAGGCAGATTCAAAAGCTTTATGGCAGTCTCACACAGGTAACAGTCTAACCGCGCACGCCCTTTGTAAAGAAAACCTAATTTGGTGCCGGGAAAGGAGGTGGTGTGGCGTGCGGAGACGGGTTAAGCTATTTCCAGCCACTACGTTTGATCTCGCCTCCAGTCTTCTTGACTTTGTCCTGATATAGAGCTCCAGTGGGACAGGGGATTGACTGTGGAAGACGATAAGCAAGGTGATTTTATCAATATAAACTAATTTACGCACAAGGTACTGTCCCTGTACGTACTTTGCTGTGGAGCACGCAGTGGATATCGTCATTTGCTACTGTCGAAAGATCGCTGTGCGAAAGCAAGCAGCCTGCCCTAGCTTGCCCTCCTAAATTCAGCGTCCAAGGTACCACATAGTAATTGTGTAATGGTGTCTTGGCAGGATTGGAATAGTTAGTCTGACCTAATTGTGAAAAAAATTGGCTGCCTCAGTGCGATTTCAAACAACGATAGCGAGAACAAGGCGCCGAACGCTGCAATTATCACAACACTGCCCAAAATCATAAGAAATTAATGAGAGTAGAAAAGAGGAGGTACAACGTGGTTCAGTTTTTCGTGAAATTAAGCCATCGTGGAAGAGCATCAAATAGAGTTAGTTCAAGAATGAATGAGAACGTTCGAGTTCCAGGTATTTGCATGCTTGAGGAAGTGTTAGTTCAGGTCAATCGGTGTAAATCAGCCACTCAAAATTCGTATGATGTCTGAAGCAGTTATAAATGTTCATAGCAGTGTGTTTCTGCGAAAAATACATAAGTTTTTCTAAGTCACCGTGGCAAGCTCCCCATATTTGTTGACGGGAGCGACTCTAAAGTTCCAAGTTTTTAACCTGGTTCTTTCTTATGAAGTCATCACTATTGTGACGGCTCTCGACTCTGCGGCCTTAAGTTGTGTCTCAGATAAATTTAATTTGAGACAAAATTCCTGCTTCGGCGGCGACCTAAAATATAAAGCGCCAGGAGGCAGTTTGGAAATGATAGCTAGAGACCAAAACTTTGGCCGTATACTCACATTTTTGCGGAGCAAGTCGACGATAAAGGTGGATTCTCGAAGACGCAAAGTGGTGATAGTGTCGTTGAGCGATGTAGGCGTATCTGCTTTGGAAGTTATCGAGGAGGAATTGAGCGAGGTGGGCAGATTATAATGATCCGGTATAAGCCTCAAAAAGGTG